TGGGGTGAGTCTTGGTGCAAAGAAAAATGTAGGCTAGTCAACAGGAAACCTGCAGTCCTCCGTACGGCCCGGGGGCCCCTGGCTGTACCCCGCCTGGCCTGGCTGCTTTCCCTTTCTTTGATGGGTGTCGCAAAAATACTAATAAATGCGCGAAAAAAACAGTCACCTGGTCAAACAAAACTGTTACCATGTGCCGAGATATTCACGGGCAGTGTCTACGCCAAGACAGGAGCGGTCACTGCTATGGCCGGCGACAGCTCTGGCTCCGTCACGTGCTCCCCGCCAACAGCCAGAGAGGCGCGCGGCGCACGTGTGCCCCCCTCCCCTCAGAACCTCTCCCGGGCACAAGGAAATGGGCTCCGAAAGGCGACTTCTCCTTTTCCCTCCTCGTTAACTGAATCTCTAGCTCTGATTAAAGGGGCAGACGCAGAAAACTGTATACATGATCCCAATGTGCATCATGCCCCTGAAGCTCTGCAACTGTCTGGTGAGGTTGTGCTGGCTGCCCCAGATCACAAGGAATGACACTGGTCTGTGAAAAGAAAAAAGGACGAGTCGTCCCGTCATTAGAAACGCAGCTGTGCCAGTCAGTCTTCACTCTTCCCGTGAGCGGCTTCACCCACTTGCAGGTGAGGAAGGAGGGAGGAGGGCCAAGGGCCAACCTTCTCAAAGGGCCTGCTCTGGGAATCACTTTCGTATGCACATAAATTTCCACAGTAAGTACCTCCTGGAGTTTGCATGCAATGAATTGCTCTTCAAGCTTCCTGTCCAATGTTCTGACTTGAGTTGTGCTACCAGAAAATCAGGTGTCTCTCAATAGCAAAGTCCAACTTGGCTTTCTTTCTTTTTTTTTTTTTTTTTTTGAAACCAGAACTCACTACCTAGAGCCCCTAAGTACACCCCTCCCCCTTTATTCCCTTTAAATGACATTTTACCCAAAGTCCCTGGTCCTCGGCGCCCTCGGAGCCATGGCAGGCAGGAGCTGTTTGAAATCTAAGATGCAGAACCAGGCAGCCAAATGGCTAAGATGAGCTTTTCCTTTGACCCTAAAGCTAAGGTCAAATCTGTGTCCTCTGTCGCTGCGTCGCGAGTGTTTTGAAAACTAGTTCTACTTCCTTCTGTCTGAGTCTCCTCGTCCTGGGGGAACGACAACACGCAGGGACAGGCAACGAGCCCCCTCTTCCAACCGACAGCCTGTTGGGTCTGTCCCGGGGCAGCACTTCTCTCCGATTCCATCGGGCGCCTTCCAGGCAGGGGTCGAAGACCTGGCCAGAGTGAGCAGTGAGGACCAGACCCACAGGCTGCGGCTCAGGACAACAGAGAGTCCCCTCTACCGAGGATGTGCCACCTGTGTCCGATGTGGATCAGGCCACTGAAGCTCTGCAGTGGTCTGGTGAGGTGGGTCGTGGCCCTGGTCCACGGCCCAGCGGCGGTGCTGGCTGCCCCAGATCACACAGTGTCCGTAGGATCTGGTCCGAGTGCTGTGTCCCGTGCACTGAGGCTCCCAGGGCCCCCGGGCCACACCTGGTCCATCTCCAATGGAGCGTCCTGCACGCCAGTCAAAGCCTGGCTGTCTCCACGGCCTCCTGGCCAGTCAGTTCAATGATTCTGTTACCCAGCCAACGTCTGGGCTGGTGCCCCTCCACCTGGTCCTGCAGGCTCCTCTCCTGACAGCCCTGCTGCCTGCTGTCCCCATACCTCCCCAGGATGCTCCCAGGACGCCCGGGGCAACACCGCCCCAGGCCTGGTGGTAGCTCCCGGATGACCACTCCCGTGTTGAACCTCGACCTTTCCTCCCACAGTTACGCTCACGCTGTGCCCCATCTCTCCGGGCCTCCCACGGAGCCAATTGGTACCAAGAGACGAAGAGCAAGGGCATAAGAGGCCCACACCCCCAGCCCCTCAGGACTGCCTATAGCTGTGTGGGCTCCCCGCAGCTTTCCGTGTATGATGGAGAGGATTCTTTGCACGTGAGGGTCCCATTCAGCATGTTGTATCTGTCAGCGGAATTCCTTCTCTCCCCATAAACCCCTCTTTCTCTCCTAAAGCAGAGGTAGGGCACCATCCCCTCTCTCCCAGGCGACTGCAGACCTGTCGCCACCTCACATCCTCCACCCCGGACCAAAGGGATCTTGCCAGAGTCTAAGTGCGATCAGATTGACCCCCATAAAACCTCCAGGGCCTCAGAGTCAAGTCCAGACGCCCTGGCATAGCCCATGACCCCTGCATGCTCTGCTCTTGCTCACGCCACCAGTGTCCCCCACGCTCACGCCTGGTGTGTGCCACGCTCTCCTTCACCTGCACACACACAACTATTCTCTCTTCATAAGGGCTCTTTCTGCTATTCACTTATTAAAAAATATATTTTCATTGATGTCAGAGAGGGAGAGAGAGAGAAACATCAATGAGGAGTATCACGGACCGGCTGCCTCCTGCATGCCTCCTACTGGGGATCGAGCCTGCAACCCGGGCCTGTGCCCTGACCTGGAGTCTAAGCGTGACCTCCTGGTTCATAGGTCAACACTGAGCCACACCAGTTGGGCTCTGGTACCCACTTTATTGACAAAGAGAGGGGCTGGGAGGGTTGGGACATTCCCAGAGAAAAGGGGTCTCCTGTGGAGAGGGTAAGGGACTCGTTTGAGATCAAACAAGGCCCAGGTGGAGCCAAGATGAGAGTAGGAGTCAGACACTAGCTTTGCCCAAAGGTCTGCAATCATATGTTAGAATCAAGAATGAGAATGATTGCGATGAGGCAGAGTTACGACATAGGGACTGAAACGTGCATTCTCCGGGGCCGGCGTAGGACTAGATGTACGTACTAGATGAGCGTTCACAGAGAGGGCCTGTTGGCAGTTTGGCAGAAGAACATCCAAAGCCCTGTGAGAACCTCTGGCCAGAGCTTAACATTAAATCAAAACAACCTTCTGGTGAGTCCCAAACAAGAGCATTCAAAACCCACGAAGTTTATAAAATAATCATGTTGGAAACGCAACAATAATTTCAAAAAAAATTTTCATAATTTTGAAATTCCTTTGATTTCAGTAGAAGTGCCTTTTAATAGGATCCTACTGGTTTAAAATTTGCTTTTAAGAATTCTGTAGACTCTTAGAGGCAAGAGAGAGAAAGCAAGTAGGGGCAGGGAGACCAAGCCCTGCCCCTGAACTTCCCCTCTGCTCCGGACCTCGCACCTGTCTCCCCGGGAGTCCCCATCGTCCCTCTAGGAAACCCTGGCATCTTCTGAGCACGCGCAGCCCTGTGCAGAACGTCTCCCAGGGGCAGAAGGAGGCCCAGAGCAGGGCCTCTCGAACTTGAATCGACACAATCACCTGGGAGCTGTGTAGACATACGGACTCTCAGAGACCAGGCCCGGAGTCTGTGACCCTCCCAGGGAGCCCAGCTGGCCTGAGGCAGGAGCTCTGCCAGGACTTCGGTGGGAGCCATGGGTCCAAGGTCACCTGCTGCAGAGCTGGACCCGAGACCCAGTTCTCCTGCCCGGCTGGTGTGGCTCAGTGGTTGAGTGTTGATCTATGGACTAGAAGGTCACGGTTCCATTCCTGGTCGGGGCCCAGGCCCAGATTTTGGACTTGATCCCCAGTGTGGGACTTGCAGGAGGCAGCCAATCAATGGTTCTCTCTCATCACTGATGTTTCTCTCTCTCTCTCTCCCGCCCCCTTCCTCTCTGAAATCAATAAAAAGATATATATTTTTTAAAGACCCAGGTTTCCTAGCACCTGGTTCAGTGCTATTCTCACACTACTCCACTGACTCTTCAACTCCCCGATTGTTAAAATCCAAACTTCACTATTTTGAAACACCAGAACCCATCAACAATAAATGGGTAAATGAAATGCATACAAAAAGAATATTATGCAGCCTTAAAAAAGGAAGGACATTCTGACAGCCGCCACCACCCGGAGGAAACTTGAGGACACAGTGCTAAGTGAACGAAGCCAGTCACAAAAAGACAAATTCTGCATTCTTCCCCTGACACGCAGGACTTAGAGTCATGGAAATGATCGATGGGAGACAGAACGGCGGTTGCTATGAGCTGGGGGAGAGGGAAGACTGGGGAGTTAGTGTCCAAAGGGGACAAAGTTTCATTTGGGAGATGGGTGATGGTGATGGTTGCACAATGATGGGCATGCACTTACTGCCACAGAATGGCACCCTTCCAAATGGTTAAAATAGTAAAACTATATGTGCGTTGTAACACACACGCACGCACGCGCACACACGCACAAGGAATCCGTTTCTCCCTGTGCTGACTGCGTGTACCGTTCTACGGATGGGAAGACGCATTTACAGATCCTCTCTGGAAAGAGAGCAGATGAAGACTGGAAAGAGAACAACGAGGGGCCCAGTTTTCCTGGGTTGCGTGCAGGAGTTTGAGGTCTTCCTGGGACTGAAAGACCAATGAGGTGTGTCCATATTCACGCCCACCAACATCCATTCTCCCAGCTGCTATGGTGTGCGGGTACTACATTTCCCAGCCTCCCTTGCGGTTGTACTACATTTCCCAGCCTCCCTTGCAGGTTGACTATAGCCATGGGACTGAGTTCTCACTAGCGGGATGCTAACAAATGGTCTGTATTGGGAGCTGGGGCCCTTAAGAGGCAAGCTCACCCCCTCCTCACACTCTGTTCTCTTCTTGCTGGCTGCCTCCGGGACTTGGCAGCAACCCAGCTTGGACAGGAATACCCTAGGGGATATCGAAACCCCAGTTAGGAGGAGCCCTGGTCCCCAAATGGCTGCAGGGAGCAGGGGTCACCTGCGAACCTGTTCCTCTCGGGCAGTTACTTAAAGAGAAAAAACATTCTACATTCTTTAAGCCACTGAACTATTGTCACATCTCTTACCTAACCTGTTACAGAAGCAAAGGAGATGCTAGCTCTACCAACTGGTCCACATTTAAACATTGCATTTAGTTGCAAGGGCCACTTTAGAGAATATATTGATTTCAGAGAAGGAGAGAGAGAGAGAAACATCAATGATGAGAGAGAATCATTGATCGGATCCCTCCTGCACGCCCACCCACTGGTGATCGAGTCTGAAACCCGGCCATGTGCCCTGACCAGGAATCGAACCTCGACCCCCTGGTTCACAGGTTGACACCCAACCACTGAGCCACACCAGCCCAGGCTAAAGGGTCACTTTTTGAAAAGAGATGGTGACCATGTGAAGCATGTTCAGGCAGAGGGAAGGGCAGCAATATTTAGCCAATGAAATCGGTTCAAGACACTGCAGTTGTTGAGTCTGGAAAAGAGATTTCTCAGGGGTGGCATGATGGCTTCTTCAGACACGGAGGAGGCTGAACAGAGCTGCATCAGAGCGGCTCCGACAGGACCGGTGGGTAGTTGGGGTTTATGATGAGGCAGGTTCTGATCCAACACAGGGGAGACGTCTCCAATAATTAGGGGTGATTTGAAAAGTACCAGAGGCTTCTCCCCATCACTGTGTCTACAGAGACCTGCTGTCCACTTGTCAGGTGGCCCTGACGGGGTGAGTGTGGCACCATTGTGTAGGGCCTAGCGAATTCTGCGATTTCAGGCAGGAGGACAGATCATGCAGGTTGGAGCCAGGTCATCACAGGAATTACATGTCAGTTTGGATCGGACCTCAGATGTCAGGGGAATCCTGACGGTTTCTGAGCAGAGTAGCAACATGACAAAAACAAGGAATGTTGTTGCTCTGGCCGACGTAGGAGGGAGAAACCCTGATTCTCACAGCCCGTGCTGCCTGCCTGGTACGTGCCTTCTCTGAACCAGAAGCAATGTAAGGAAAGCCAAGAGTAAAGAATATTGACTTTTTATGACTCTGTTTTTGGGTAATCAAAAAATATATTGGGGGGCTAGCACGTTTAAAACTTATCTTCCAAGAGGAATAACCATTTTAGCCCTAGACACACAAAGTACTTTTCACCCTCGTCATTCAGGCTGGTCGCATATCTAAGCTGCTATGTCAGGGGCCAGACTGCAGAACCTCCTCTCTCCGATAAGAAGGACTCACAAAGCGGGCCAGTGAGTAGTTCAAGGCCACGGTGGGTGAGTCAGTGCACGGGCAGGCTGCTTGATTGAGGTCTCCGCTGCTGCCCCCAGCCCGTGCTACCAGAGTGCCCTCAACCAGGAGTATCTCCCGCATACCGGCACAATCAACCCGAACCAGCGGCCTTTCCAGACCTGGAAACCCCCCGAGACATGTCAAACTCAACCACCTTCATTTTGCAAACGAAGAGAGGGAGGCTCAGGGAGGAGGGCACACAGGCAAGGGCCGAGCTATGACTCGAACCCGGTTCCCCGGATCCCTCGCCCTGGATCTTACCACCGGACCTACCCAGACAATGGGGGGCCCAGGAACGCCGCACACGCAGAAGTAATTGCCTGGAAGCGCCCGGGCCATCACCATGAGCTCCGCTGTCTGGAAAGACAAAGGCTCATGTTGGCTTTGGCCACCAAAGAGAGGAAACATTCTGCAATCCTTGCAAAGGCTCAGATGAGGGGGCGGGGAGGCCTCTGTGAGCCTTGCACCCACAGGCGAGAGGGGAAACATGTGTTTCGCATTTGTCTCGGGATGGGAAAGAAAAACTTTTCCTTTCACTTAATCTCCGTTTAAACAAACAGAGAAACTGCCCTTTCTGTCAACTCGCCGAATGTCAGATATTGTTCACCAGCCTGGCATCGGCTTACTAAGCCACAGCCGGGCCACCTTCCTCATGTAATGCCCTCCTCCATGAGCAGGCACTTGGGCCTGGAGCGGGAGGGGTGGCTAAAACAATACAGGCTTCCTCTGATGAGCTGGACGGGAGTCAGCTGATGGGAGTCAGATTTCCAAATCTGTAACCTCTGGTTTCAGCCAGAGACCCGAGGCCACGCAGCCCCAGTCATGACTCAGGGTTTAGGGAGAGAAAGCAAGCACGTCAAGTGATGTAAGAAAATTTCCCCATTCCCCCATCCCACTGGTGTCGTCCTCCCTCGGGAATTCAGTGGAGGGGGGGGGGGCGGGGGGAGGAGGAGGGGTTGCCTTGTCACCCAGGCGCACCCCGGGGCTCGCTCGGGCGCCTGGCACAAATCCTACTGCCATCACCGTGGCCGGCGTCCCAAAGGAAGTGCTCAGTTACAATGGCTTTCCTGTTGGCCTGCGCGTGCTCAGATCACGGCTCCGTGTGTGTGTGTGTGTGTGCGTGTGCGCGCGCGTGTGCGTGTGTGTGAACCTCATAAAAGTAAACTAGGAGACAGGAGGGCCAGGTCTGGGCTGAAGGGAAGTCGGTGCTGAGTGGGGGAGGCCAGTGATGCAAGCCTACCTTTGAAGTCACTTTGTTTGTCAAGAGTCTGCTGGGCTCTCTCTCCGAAGGAAACTCCGCTGGAATGAGGTTTCTGTGCCTGTGGGGTCAGGGCTATTGTTCTTGGCTCGGGGCTTCACCTCGAGCCCTCGCTAGGACATGTATAAACCCCACAACAACAGCCCGACATGCGATTGCTCACCCGCGCATTACATCAGGGACTTTTACTCGGGCGATGTTGAATGCCTCATTGTTTAATGGGGCAGGAAGTTTACTCTTGGAGCCAGGGAGGAATCTTTTTTTTTTTTTTTCTCTTTCCTCCTTACCTCCTTGGAGATGTGGACAGAGGCCGGCCTTGTCAGCCCTGGTCTCGCTCCTCCGTGAGAGCAGCTGCAGCCGCGGGGCTGCCCAGCTTCCCTCTCAGGACGGGAGGTTTTCTGGGACCAGAGGGGCCAGGCAGGCTCCTCCCGGGAGGAGATGCTGGGTGATGGGCGCAGGGCCACCCAGGGGCAGGGAGGGGCTGGATCTTCTGAAAAGGGTTGGGTTTTCTCTTCGCAGTTTCTTCCATTCTGATCCAGACCTCGGTGTGGTTCTCACACGCACACACACACACAGGGGGGAGCCCCATCCCCAAACCTGATGATGCCTTTTTTTTTTAACACCCTTGGGATACATCACATGGTGACCAGCTCACGCTGGGAACCTCGGGCTACGACTCTGAAGTCAGATTGTGTCTGACCAACCGGCCTAATTCAGAACCACGACCCTCCCCTCCATTGCAGCAAATCCCTGAGAATAGAAACATCTAGAAAAAGCCTTGCAGGCTCCCAGATATACCCTGTAAGCAAACTCTCTCTCTCTTGTTTGTTAATCCTCACCTGAGGGCATTTTCCCGCTGATTTTTAGAGAGAGTGGAAAGGAGGGGGAGAGAGACGCATCCATTGGTTGCCTCCTGCACACGCCCGACCAGGGGCCAAGCATCTAGCCCACAACCAACATACCTGTATGTGTCCTTGATGGGAACCGAACCTGGGACCTTTCAGCCCGCGGGCCAACGCTCTATCCACTGAGCCAAACCAGCCAGGGCTGTAAGCAAACTTTTTAAGACACAAAAAGAGCCCTTTCAACCTTTCGCTGGTGGCACCGGCCGAGAGACCGGCGGAGAGAGACGCCCGGAGAAAGGAAGCGTCCACACATGCACCTCCTTCTCGCCAGAGGAAACCGGCGGGCGGTGAGGATGGAAATGACAGGGACACTTACCTTGTAGGGCGAGAAACCCTCGTGTTTCCTTTGTTTCTGTATCTCCAGAATCTTTTATTTCTCACACATCCGCACAGACACCCACAATGGGCTTAAAAGAAAAAAAATAAAATTAAAAAGCTGGGCGCCAGGCCTGAGTCCTAGGGACGAGGCCTACGTGGAAAGACCGCCGCCATCGCCTCCCGCGCACGGCTCCGTCCACACGCCCCCACGCCGCGCGCCAGGCTCCCCGGCCACACGGACGCTCAGTACGTCTGTCTGTTTGCAATGGCGACCTTGCAATTGGCCGGGACTTTCACGTGTGTGTGAGCGCGCGCTTCCACCTGCACCACCCAGGCCTCGTCCAGGGAGCCGGACGCAGCCGCCCCGCCCCGTGCTGAGCGCGGCTCTCAGGCCTGAGCCCACGGGAGGCACCTGCAGCCGCCGCCACCAGCCCGCCTGCGCCGCCCCCCGCCCCAGGTTCTGATTGAATTGGGCTGCGCCGGGATCCGGGCACAGGTTTTGCTTCTTAAGCTCCCCGGCCGTTGCAGTGTGCCTCCAGAGTCCCGTCCACCGCGCGAGGCCAGCCCCCTCGCTGGCCCGGGAGGGGAGCCACACCCGCCGGCTCCTTGCACAACAGCCCTGTCCTCTGGCACGTGTCCCCTCTCCCGGGTCCTCACCGGGCTTCCCTCCAGGCGCCAGCATTTGGGATCTGGCCTCCCCTGTGACCCTCGCCCCGGGGGGGCGGGGGGGAGACCTCCCGAAGATGCCCCCGGGTATAACCGAACGTTCTCAGCCACAATAACAACGCCTGTGTGCAACGCACCCCGTCATTCTTGCGCAACGAAGTGAGCCACCCCACGCTGTGCTCCGTGCGCTCGGCTGCCTGGCGGGACCCTTCCTGGGCGCGTCTGGGGCCTCACCAGGGCCGGTGCCAATCCATCCGGTGCAAGGCGTGAAGGCATCGCCACATGGCACGAGCTTCCTGTGCCCGGGGCCTGGCGCACGGCGCTGGGCACACACGTCCTCGATGCTCAGCAAACTTCTGATGAAACTGAGAACGTGAGATCTGCAAACGCAGGGTGTTTCCCTAACCTCATTTGGTTCTGGAAATTCAAACCACCGGATTGAGAAAAATAGGTCCTGGTGATTACAAAACCCCCTCCGAGAGAGAACACGGTGAGCAGCAGAACTGGCCAAGGAAACGCGGCCGCTATCAGCAGATATGCATGCGCACCGAACCCTCCCGCCTCCCCCGCCTCTCCGCCCGGCTCTTCCTGGGGAGCCGCGTCCAGGTCCCTGCAGGAGCGGGCGCAGCTCCGAGCACCCCTCCTTCTCAGAAAGCAGCTCAGGGGATGGGGCTGCGAGCCCCCGAGGGTGGGGGCCGGGCCCCAGGCTGCAGGTTGGAAGTGGGCGTTTCCTTCCATCTGTAGGTGCCCAAGCGCCCCACAGGCTCAGCTCTGCCATTTCGTCTGCTTCGGGCAGCGTCCTGCCCGTCACCTCGTTGGGAGATGGTTCCTGGAAGGGGGTGACAGCACGGAGCCAACGTCAGTTGATTAATGGGACTATTTTGTATCATACACTTGAGTATGTTTAGTCAATAATATGTTCTTTTAAATATATATATATATATTTATTGATTTCAGAGAGGAAGGGAGAGGGGGAGAGAGAGATAGAAACATCAGTGATGAGAGAGAATCACTGATCGGCCACCTCCTGCATGCACCACACCAGGCAACTGAGCCCAGAACCCAGGCATCTGCCCGGACCCGGAACCAAACCGTGACCTCCTGGTTTATAGGTCAACGCTCAACCACTGAGCCACACCGGCCGGGCAATAATTTGTTCTACTGGCTGGACTCTCCCAACCTCACCTCACCCTCTTTTTCCAGAGTTGTCTTTGCCATTTTCTCTCACGTATTCAATGTAAAATTGTTTCTTAAAAAAAAAGAAATCAGTGACTCCTCTGGGGTTTTGATTGGAATCATAATGAATAAACAAATTCATCTGGGGGCTAAAGAAATTTCCTACATGGAATTTTTCCATGTAGCAACACCTATTTTATTCGAATCTCTTACATTTTCCCAATATAAGTGTGTAGTGTTCTTACTCAGCCTGCCACACAGGTGCCAGTGTGAATGGAATATCATGATTAGGATGCTCAGCTACGAGGCATACAAAAACGCCTTTACCGGGGGGTGTTTGTCGTATGTCCAGTCATTTTTCTAAATCTTTCTGTGATTTATTCCAGTCGTTTCAGATAGTCCCTTTAAATTTTCTAAGGGTGAAACCACAGGGTTCCCCAGAGGGACGTTTTGTAGCGATGTACACGTCAAGGGGAGCGTGGTCCCGTGCACCAGTGTCCTGCGGCCGCCATAACCAAGTACCACAAACCGAACAGGCCACGTCTAGGATTCTGGGTCCACTCACGGACCATATGACAAGACGTCCATTGAAAAAATTGCTCCCGCCCAGCCCGTGTGGCTCAGTGGTTGAGCATCGACCAGGCACCAAGAGTTCACCGGTTTCCTTGCCGGTCAGGACACATGCCCAGGTAGTGGGCTCGATCCCCCGTAGGGGGCGTGCAGGAGGCGGCCTGAGGATGTCTCTCCCATTGATGTTTCTCTCTCTCTGCCTCTCCCTTCCCCTCTCTCTAAAATCAATAAAAACATATTTTTATAAAAGAAAAAAACAAAAACACGCTGCTCCTTTGAGCTTGCTGTGAAGAATGGTGTGGGAACTGCATCCAGCGTGGATCCGGGAGGCATGGCGAGGAGTGTGACGTCTGCTTAGCTACAGGCCTCCCGTGGTCCCGCTAAGCCGAGTTCCCGAGGGTGACACTCAGAAGGAAGCACATTTGGGCTCCACTTAATTGGACTCCAAGATCCCAGGGAATCTTCGGATTAAGCCCGTCTCCCCAGGGCCGTCTACCTGCAGCAGGAGCCAGTTACCTCATCCTGTCCCCACGGACGGATCCGTACCGAGGCCTGTTCCGTGCCAGGCGCCAGGCGCCGGGCCAGATGCCGGGGCCGTGCCGGGCTCAGCGAGATCCCGGGCTTCCCCTCAGGAAGCTGACATGCCAGGGGCCCCGAAAGAGTCTAGGCAGGTGGGTGGCACGATGCTCAGCGCCATGGAAAAGATTCTCTCTGCGGAGGGTGCGGCCAGGTGACCACCGTGTCCCTCGGAGCTAAGGCGCTGTGGCCTTTAAGGTCCCCGAGAGGGGACGTGTAGGGGGACGTGGGGACTTGGGAGTGGAACGCGTTTAAGAGGAAGTTAGAAAGGGTTTCAATGGACACAGAGGCCCTCTCCCCAGAAAAGCAGGCTCCCCCTGCACACGCCTGAGCTTCCCGCGCCTGCTTCCCATTGCCCTGTTCTCAGCCTCACCCCTCTCACCCCCACCCCCACCCCCACCCCCACCCCCACCCCCAAACCCCGGAACAGACGCTCAGCAAGCAAACCTCCCAGGCCCACTGGGCTTCAGGGCCCAGCGCCGCCACCTCCGTGGGGAAACCAGACCCCTCCCATCTCAGCAGCCACACAGCCTGGCCCGCGGTGCTTCCCCTCCTGCCGGGGCTCCCGGCCAGGGCATGCAAAGCGAGGGCCCTACATCCATGTTTTCAGCTGAACCAGGCCCGGGGCGGAAGGGAGAGGCCTCTGCTCTCGGTGGCTGCTCCTCCTTCATGAGCCCAAACAAAGCCGGTGCCAGGGAAGGTAATCGGCCCCAGGCAGGCGGAGCCACCCCTTGAAGCGGAGAGGGAGCCTGGCCAGGGCGCTGTGGGCCTGGAAGCTGGTCCTGCGGAGCCCGCTCAGGGCCGCGGTGAGCGGAGCCGCACTGCCCGGCGGGGAGCAGGCTCAGGCCTGGGGGGAAGAAACCCTCTCTCTGCTCGCGTGCTGCCCTGTGACCACGCGAGAAGATAAGCACACGCTTAAAAAGCCCTGCCGTCGGTGCTGGGTGACGCCTGGTACTCAGCACCAAGGAGGGCTCTGGAAACAAAGATCACAGGGTCCCCACCCCCGCCATCATCCGCGCCCTGCTGCCTGACGCATGCGCACACATCCTTACATGTGGGTGCACGCACACACACGTGTATGCACACCAGGCACACACACCAGGGTGCATGCATTCACCCTATATTTCTCCATTCTGTACATTCACCCCAACACGTGTCCTCACATGTGTACACATACACACGTGCACAGGCCCGCACACACATGCATACGCATATTCTTACACATACGCATCCTCACACAAACATCCACACATAAACACTCTGCACACGCATCCATACACAGACACGGACACTCAGTCCTCATGTGTGTACTAGTATGCACCTATGTATATGTACATGAGAAGATAAATACACTTTTTAAAAAGATCTGTAATATGAAGGGATTAAGCAAGAACAACAGCAACCCATATATATAAGATACATAGACATGGACAACGGTGTGGTGACAGCCAGAGGGAAAGGGGGTGGGGAGGGAGGTGGAGGTGGGCAAAGGGGGCGAAGTGGGGACACAGACTTGGTTTGGGGTGATGGGCGCGATGCAGCGTGCAGATGAGGTTTTGTTGAGTTGTGCACTTGAAACCTGTGTGATTTTGTGAACCAATGTCACCCCAATAAATTCCATTAAAAAGTAAACTTTAAAAAATGAACAAAAATAAAAAGATCTGTAACAGATGCCAGAAATGCCTGGTACTCAACACCCAGGAGGTCTCTCTAAATAGAGAATTCTGGTGCACGAGCACACACATCCTCACACATAAGGGCACCTTCACATACAAACACACATGCGAGTCCACATTTTCAGAGCACAACATGTCCTCGCACACGTGCACACATAGGTTCACATGCTTATGTGCATCCTCAGACACAAACACACACCCCTTTCCATAGGCATGCACCCTCCCGCCTCCATCCTGGATCGCTCACACACACACACACACACACGCTCACACACACACACACACACACACACATATGCACACGCTCACACACACACTCACACGCACGCACACACACACGCACATGCACACACACGCACGTACAGACACGCACGCACACATACATGCACATGCACACACGCACACACGTACATGCACAAGCACACACATGCACGTACAGACACGTACACGCACATACACGCACGTGCACAAGCACACAAATGCACACACGCGCACCCATACATGCACATGCACACACGCACATACATACACATGCACACGCGCGCGCACACACCCCTTTTGCTGCGGATGCTTCCGCGGGAGTGGGTTGGACGCTCTCCTCCTGGGTGAGGCAAGGCCGGTGACTTGCGTTCCGGGCCAGGTTTCACCTGGAGCCCATGGCCTGGGACCAGGTCGGTAGATGCCGGTAGCAAAGGCCCAGAGCCCAGGCTGGGCAGGCTGGGCAGGCAAGCTCCCGACATCCGTCATGGAGAGAGCCGGCCGCGCTGGGCCAAAGCGCTCATCTCAGTAGCTCGGTGACCTTGGGCCAGTGACACAGCTTCTCTGAGTTCGTTTCTCGTCCAAAAAAAGGGAGGCTGATATCACCGACTTTGTGGTGATGGCACGGGTGAAGCGGGCACCCAGAGTGGGTGTTCCGGAGACAGCGCCTTCCATGTTGCTGGCCTGGTCCCCAGAGCTCCCCGGGCCACCATTTCCCAGGGCCCCGGGCGCGTGCGGGACAGAACTAGAGAACATGCGTGTGCGATATGCAGGCAGCTGTGTGACCGGTGAAGGAAGGAGCGTTTGATCGGGTCTCCAGCGGCCCGCCCCTCCTCCGTGACCGACGGGCCAGACACTTCCAGGGGGCTCTGAGACAGGGCCTGCGGCCGGGGGTTCCGACGGGGATGGGAAGGAGGTCGTTCTTTTGTCTGCGAAGCTCCGATGGCTCGTTGGGGGAAAGCAACGAGAGAGCGAAGCGACAGGGAAGGTGAGACAACGAAACGGAACCTGCCAACGCTCCCCGGCTGCTGCCCGGACCTTCTGGAGCAGCTAAGCGCACGGAGGAGACAGCCCGCCGCCAGGCCACCCCCGGCAGGAGCTGTGACAGCCGCCGAGGGGCTGAGCGGACGCCGTGGGCCTAGTCCCCGGGGTGACGGCAGCTCCCTTCCGAAGC